ATGAATAAAGCATAGACCTTATCCTCAACGAATCGCAATACAAGATAAGAATTATGCTTCTACTGGGAACTAAAACCAAATTACTATAAACTCACTGTTACGGGAGGCAGTGATTAATTCTGCCCCGGAAAGCTGAGAAAGGCTTTGAAGTAGGCCTTAAATTAGTATGATTCTGTCAAAACAAAAAGTTAAAGAAGTTAAGGAAACCAGGAACACAATGAACAAAGGCATGGAAAAACACTGAAAAAGCAGTTCATAGTTCAGTTTGCAATTAGGGGGCGATGTGGAGAACGGGAGGCAGGGAACGGGTGGAAAAGAGTGGGACGGGAAGAGGGAATTTGGCAGGAAGAGAGACGCGGAGTCCTGAGAGTCACGGACTTCATCATGTAAAGCAACGGGAAGCTGCTGAGGCGGAAATCGTTCATCATCCACGAATCCTACTGTGTGTTAGGCACCGTTCTAGGTACTGGAAATTGCTCATGAGCAAGAATGACAGTCCTTGCCTCATGAAACCTTTACCTATTTTTTGAGTCTCACTGTCACCCAGGCTGGAGTGCAATGGCGCAATCTCAGCTCACTACAACCTCTGCCTCCCGGGTTCAAACGATTCTCATGCCTCAGCCTCCCAAGTAGCTGGGACGACAGGCATGAGCCACCTTGCCCAGCTAATTTTTTGTATTTTTAGTGGAGACAGGGTTTCACCATGTTGGCCAGGCTGGTCTCGAACTTCTGGGCTCAAGCAATCCACCCTCCTCGGCCTCCCAAAATGCTGGGATTACAGATGTGAGCCACTGTGCTCAGCCTCATGAAGCTTTTTAATTTTATGAAGATTATTAATAAGGAGTTTATGATGCACTGTGAGAACTGTAATGATAAATGAAAGTAAAGGTGCTATTGGAATACATAGTAGGAGAACCTAATCAACCTGGTGGGTAAAGAAGACCTCCCAAAAGTGAGGTCTAAGCTTTCTCATCCTTTCTGAATAAGGCTTAATCAGGAAAGCTGGGGCCAGGGGCAGGGTAGGGTTGGCAGCGGTACACCACAGGAGATGGGCTGAAAATAAGAGTGCTCTACAGGAGAATAAAATACACATGCACAAAGATGCAGAGAAAGAACGTAGATGTTTGAGGAACTGGGAAGAAAATCACAATGTTTGGAACACAGGATATAAGAGAAGAATGGCAAGAGATAAGACTAGATATATAATTAAGCAAGAGGCTAGATGACAGATGGCCTTATAAATCAGGTTAGAGAATTTAGACTTCATCCTGAGGGCAACAGAAAACTAGAGAAGGATTTCAGTAAGGGAGTGAAAGTGACACCTGTGTGTTAACAAAGCACTAGTGTCTGTAGAGAGAACGAATCAGAGAGGGGTAAGGCCAGACAGAACCTGCTGCTGTGATCTAGGCTAGCTATGACAGCAGCCTGAGTGGAATGAGAGAAAAAGAAGGAATAATCCTACAAGATTCTTTTCAAAACAGCAGACAGAATGATATATCCAAAGTACTAAGACAAATAACTGTCAACCAGTAATTTTACACCTAATGCAAAAAAGTCCTTCAAGCATGAGGGTAAAAGGCTGCGCACAGTGGCTCAAGCCTGTAATCCCAGCACTGTGGGAGGCCGGGGCGGGCGGATTGCTTGAGGTCAGAAGCTCAAGACAAGCCTGGCCAACATGGCGAAACCCCATCTCTACAAAAAATTAAAAAATTAGCTGGGCATGGTGGGCACGCACCTATAATCCCAGCTACTCGGGAGGCTGAGGCATGAGAATAGATTGAGCCTTGGGCAGTGGAGGTTGCCATGAGCCAAAATGGCACCACTGCACACCCCAGCCTGGGCAACAAAGCAAGTCTCTGTCTCAAAAAAGAAGGTGGGGAGGGGGTTTGAAAAAGAATGAATATAACATAAATCCATGTGCAGACTTAAAAAAAAAAAAGAATGAAAGTGAGAAGCACTGGGGAAATATAATCAGCACAACTGAGTTTGAGGATAAAGAAGAAGGGAGGAGTCAAAGCTAACTACCAAAGTACCTGCCGTTCAAATGAGTGAAAGGTGGTATCATTTAAAGAATAAAGAAACAAAGGAGGAGGATATGGGAAGACATTAATGAGTCCAATTTTGGATACAGAGAATTTCAGGTATCTGTGAGACATCCCCTGGAATTATCTAACAGGCAGATGATATTTATGAAAGAAATCTATATTATAAATGAAGATTTAGGAGTTACTCAGTATAAAGAAGGCAAACGGAGCCAAGAAATTAAATTAAATTTCCAGAGAGACTGTACAGAGTGAGAAAAGAAAGGTATCTATGCCAGAATCTCGAGGAAAACCATTATTTTAGATGTAGAGAGAAGGCCAAAGGCAAAGAAAGAATCTCAAGAAAATAATGGTAAGTAGTAAATAACCAATACTAAGAGATCAAGAAGATTAAGGATGTGTTTCAGAAAGATAATTCTGACAGAAATTAGAAGAGAGTCTAACTCCCACTATTTCCACCAACCACATAATCCTCTATTTCTTTACCAGTTTTACTTTTTTCATGACACTAATTATTTGAAATTCATTCATATCTCTCTCTCTCTACTAGAACGGTAGCTCCATGAAAGCAGAGATCTTTGTGTGTCTTGTTCACTACTGTCTACACAGCATTTAGAAATAGTACCTGGCATGGAGTAGGTTCTCCATCAATACTTACCAAACTCAAATATCAAGGTAAAATATAAGAGGACTACAACCAGGTCAGTGACAATGAATTTGAAAGAGAGATATGAAAGACATTTTGGAGACAAAATCATCAGGACCTGGTGACTGACTAAATATAGGAGACTGGGAAAACAAAGTGTTTAACTATTATTACCAACAAAATTTCATTTGGTAGCCTACTCCCAGTTGTATCAGGTGTTATCAAAATCATAGTTTTACATTCCAAAGTTATTTAGCTTTGTCCACTTAATATGTTCCCACCTCCTGGAACTGTCATTAATCTGAAGACACTGAGTAATATGAATAGTTCAAATAGGAAACGCAATGAATACATTTTAGTATGTATTCTGCACGTCATCTGGATAGCAAAATACCCAGTGCACATAGAGGCTTCTCAGAGCTGTGCTCATTAAATCACCTAAAGATTTTCTCATCAAAATGTATCCAAAGTTAAGTGGCTGGCAAAGTAGATAAGTACACAGAGATATTGAAATCAAGTGGAAGATGCTTTAAATTTCAGTTGTGTCACTCAGTAACTACGTGATCGCTCTACGCACCCCAGTTTCCTCATCCTCACAAGAGAAATTATATAAATATTAATCTTAGCTGCTAGAGAAATGCTTTCACAAAGAACACCACCATTAATTATCACCCAAATTTGCTGATATACAGCCAGATATAAACGCTTTATTTAAATCTCATTAAGTTGGCCGGGCGCGGTGGCTCAAGCCTGTAATCCCAGCACTTTGGGAGGCCGAGACGGGCGGATCACGAAGTCAGGAGATCGAGACCTTCCTGGCTAACACGGTGAAACCCCGTCTCTACTAAAAAATACAAAAAACTAGCCGGGCGAGGTGGCGGGCGCCTGTAGTCCCAACTACGCGGGAGGCTGAGGCAGGAGAATGGCGTGAACCCGGGAGGCGGAGCTTGCAGCGAGCTGAGATCCGGCCACTGCACTCCAGCCTGGGAGGCAGAGCGAGACTCCGTCTCGGGGGGAAAAAAAAAAAAAAAAAAATCTCATTAAGTCCAATGGGGTGCTGATGCTAATACAGCCACTCAACATTCTCCTCCTGCCTGATTCTCACCTCCCAATACTTTTCAGCATAAATCCTCCACTCCAGGCAAACCCACTTATTTTCTGTCACTTGAACACACGCTAAATATTCCTTAAACTCAGTTTCTGACATTTCTCTTACCTTCCTTCCACTTCAATCCTACTCATTCCTCAAGGCTCTACCTAAGTTCTTATTTTTCTCTGAAGCTTCTCTATTGACCACCCAAGCTCACCATGATTTTCCCCCTCTGAATCCCTGTAACATTTTTCCACACCTTTCGGTTAACATTAATAACATACTACAATGGGCTTTATACTTCTTACTTCCTAACTATAATATCACCAAGTATAGGCTCTAAACAAAACACGACTTTGTATAACATGAAGTACCTAACAAAGTACTCTGCACAATAGTCTGCACATATTTGAAACTGTCTACATGTAGCCCCATTTGATAACTTAGCAATTGGCCAGAGAAGGCACAAAACATTTAATTAAATATTTAATGTCATCACAATAAACCAGTTGTTGGAGCCAGACACAGGAGAACCCACTCCCTAGCACTGGCACTCCATTCGTGGGTCCAGACACAATGAGGTGCTGAGGGCTGAAGAAGGTGTGGACTGTGGGCATTCCTGCCCAGCAAGAAACTCTCCAGCTTGCCTGTACCCACTGCCACCGACCTGCACCTCTCCAGGAGCTGCCTGCCAAAGCAGGGAGAGAGGAGAATCTCCCCATTTCCCTCAGGCCCGGGATCATCAGGAAATGCCTTTCCCACCTACACAACTTAACTAATGCTACTTACACATTAAAATTCTAAAGTAAAAAAAAAAAAGCCATTTAATGCAATAAGCCTTTAAGCTCCTTCTTCCCATTCTACCTTCCGACTTAGTTGTTAAAGAGGCAACAGTCACCAAAATGTGTTCACCTTGCCTGTAGGCAGACCTTAGCCTTTTCTTCCCATCGTTCAGAGACTGTAAGGAGCTCCTGTAGTTCAGCCATTGCTTTCTCCACAGCATGGTGGGGTGCCAACCCTACCCCAGAGTCTATCAGTTTCTTCATGACATCCAAAGTGACTTGCTGTGGATCTGATAAGGTCAGTCTTACTTCGTCCAACCACCGAGCCTGTTGCAGCTCTTGCTTCAGTCGTGGTAATTCAGGGAGTTCCACATACAGACTAGAGCCCATATCTATCAACATTTGGAGTTTGGAAGAATCTGGGGTTTCATCCATCATGGCCTCCTGAGCACGTTCATGAAACTCTTCCACATCATCTAGCAGATTCTGAAAAGGTCAAAAGAAATAAAAATTCGAAAAACAAATTTGAAAGATACAAAAAGAGTATGAACTAGACATAGTCAAGGCACACTATCAATTCTAGACTCTCATAATCTCACCACCATAACACCAAATATTCAGATATGATAGTTAAATTAATAAATATGCTTTTGTGTAATTACTTCTAGCTACACTCCTACTTTTAAAATATAGTTGATTCATTCAATAAATATTCAATGACTGCTGATTTAGATGCAGGCACTTTTCCAGGCACACAGTATTAAAGAAGACATAAAAAGTCCTTGTCTTCAGAGAACATACTTATTTTTTTTGAGACAGAGTCTCGCTCTGTCGCCCAGGCTGGAGTGCAGTGGCACGATCTCGACTCATTGCAAGCTCCGCCTCCCGGGTTCACGCCATTCTCCTGCCTCAGCCTCCCAAGTAGCTGGGACTACAGGTGTCCGCCACCACACTCGGCTAATTTTTTGTATTTTTAGTAGAGACAGGGTTTCACCGTGTTAGCCAGGATGGTCTCAATCTCCTGACCTCATGATCCGCTCGCCTCAGCCTCCCAAAGTGCTGGCATTACAGGCGAGAGCCACCATGCCCGGCCCAGAGAACATACATTCTAATGCAGGTGACCAGACAGTGAACACACGAATAAAATGTTTCAGTTAGTGTCAAGTGCTCTGAAAATAGGGCAGCACAACAGAGAATGACCAGAGCGGGCAGAGGCATATTACTTAGCAGTGTCATGGTAGTCACAGAAGGCAAACTGAAACTAAATTGAGGGTTGGGGAGGAACTACAAGAGGGTCTGAAGGAAGAACAGTTAGGGCAGGGTAAAAAATAATTGCAAACGCTTTTAAAGAAGAATGAGCTTGGTGTGTTGCTACAAGTGGACGATGGAGAAATGTGGCTAAAAAATAAGCAGAGGTCAGACTACACAGTATCTTCTAGGTTACAATGAGTTTGAATTTCATTCAAATGGCTTTGGGGAACCACTGGAGAATTTTAACCACAGGGAAGTGATGTGATTTGATTTAAAGTTTAGATTATCATTCTGGTTACCAAACAAAAAATAAAATGTCAGACGAGCAAAAGAAGAGAAAGCAGCTGAAAGCCTGTTGCAGTAATCCAAGGGGCACATTCCAGTGGTATAGAGCATAGTTTAGGCAACGGAGAGGACAATAAATGGTTTGCTTTAGGATATATTTTGGAGGTAACAGCAGTCAGCACTTGTTTAAATATTGAACACGGGGAATAAGGGAAATGAAGAAATCAAGGAGTTTGATTCATTTGGTTCATCAAAAGGCTTAAGGCCAGGTGTCGTGGCTCATGTCTGTAATCCCAGCACTTTGGGAGGCCAAAGCAAGTGGATTGCTTGAGCTCAGGAGTTTTGAGACCAGCCTGGGCAAAATGGTGAAACCTTGTCTCTACAAAACATACAAAAATTAGCCAGGTGTGGTGGTGTGCACCTGTAGTACCAGCAACTTGGGAGGCTGAGGTGGGAGGATTGCTTGAGTCTGGGAAGCAGAAGTTACAGTGAGCTGAGACCACACCACTGTACTGCAGCCTGGGTGACAGAGCCAGACCGTCTCAAAAAAAAAAAGAAAAGAAAAAAAGGCTTTAATATGCCTTTTAGTCCACCGAAAGGAAATCCAGAGTACACACGTGGACATACAAGTCTGTAGGGAAAAAGGAATCCAGGGCTGGAGATATGGGACTGAATCAACAGGATACAGGTGATATTTAATGTCACTGGGCAAATAAGGTATCAGAAGTGGGGGCACCTGAAGAAAGGGCCGAGACTCCTCATATACTCCAACACTTGAGAAGCCAAGTCAAAGAGAAACAAGCAGCAAGGAAGACTTAAGAGAAGAACTGCCAATGAGCTAAGAAAAAATCCAGAAAGTGTGGTGTCACAGAGGCTTAAAGAACAGCATTCAAGAAAGAGTAGTCAGCTATCAAAATGCTCTTATGAAATGGAATAAGACAAGAACACAACTGACCCTAGATTTCACAAGTTGATAACCTTGATAAAAACTATAAAAACGATCTTAGGCCGGGCACAGTGGCTCATGCCTGTAATCCCAGCACTTTGGGAGGCCGAGGCGGGTGGATCACCTGAGGTCAGGAGTTTGAAACCAGACTGCCAACATGGCGAAACCCCGTCTCTACTAAAAATACAAAAATTAACTGGGCATAGTGGCCCATTCCTGTAATCCCAGCTACTCGGGAGGATCACTTGAACCCAGGAGGCGGAGCTTGCAGTGAGCCGAGATCGCGCCACTGCACTCCAGCCTGGGCAACAGAGCGAGACTCCCTTCTCAAAAACAAAAACAAAAAACACTATTTTAGACCTCTACCCACCCCCAAAACACAAAAACACCCCAAACTATCAAAAGATCATTAACTATGGAGATTAATATATTTGATACATACTTTCAAGATTTTACATATTCATTAAGCCATCAGGGTGCTGGTAATTTCAGAGCTCTGCATTTTTAAAAGCTCATGTATTAATAACACTGATACATGCAGATTATTTTAACTAATTTCTTGCATCTCAATTACATCTATGTTAAATGGGTGTTCTGAACTAAAATTAATATAGAAAAAAATAATTCTTTATCAGCCTTACAGAATTTTAAATGGGGAATAACGGCTAAGAACAAAACCAAAAAACTGCCTATTAAAGAACCTCAAATAGCAGCATATAGTGAGAGAAAAAAAAAATTAGAGCAAAAAACTAGTTTAGATATACCAGTCTGTGAAACCCAGAACAGTAGACCCTGTCACAAAGGACATTACCCAAAACAAGGATGTCATACTCCACCTTCACTTGCCGAGCTTGGCTGATGACACACGGAAGACTAAAAAGTTGTTGGACAAAGGCCTTCAATTCTTCCACTGTCAGTTTGGTCCGAGTCCTCCCACTATCTGGGCTCTGTCTGATGTGAAATAATATTGAGATACAAGTAAGAAAAAAATCAGTCATTCTGATATCAAAAGGGCTCCTAGTCTATTCGGAATTCAAACCTAAGCAATCCTAGAATCCCAGTGTTTGAGGGATTACACTGCAATGGTGACCACTTCAAAACAGTTTCTAAGGTCTTCAGTTAATGACTCAAAGATTCAACTCTCCAAGTTACAGTTCCTTCGATCTACAAGTATTAAACATTTCAAACATTACATAAATTCCTCATAGTTGGAATATTAAGTTCATTGATAAAACTTAACCCTGTATCTCAAGAAGGTTAAAATGTGAAAGAAGAGCCTTTAACCTGCCTTAGGTTACAATGAATCCTCTGAAAGTGTTCCAAAATTTGTGTGTATATGATTTTTCTAAGAGGATTCCTAAACTTTTACCAGGTTCTCCAAGTGGGGTCACTGGCCCAATGACAATCTAAGAGCCGTTGATCAATGTCTCTAAGAAAAGTTATCTAACAAAATGGTAAATAAAAAATTTACAAAGTAATTAAAAAACCCAGTATGAATTGCTATAGAAAGGCCATTCAGACAGAAGAAATGTGCTGGAATTACACCACCACATTTAAATACCACAGAAAATTTAATACTTAGGAATTACATCATACCAAGGGTGCATACTTCTATGCTTCTTAACAACCTCCTCCGCATCCATCAAGGTTACCCTTTGCTGCCACCTGCCTTCAGCCTATAGTTTCCATTTATTCATTTACAAATATTTATTGCACAACTATGTGCCAGGCATTGTTTTAAGCACAAGAAATATGACAATGAAAAAAAAATTCCTGATATTCTAGTCTTGTGTACATTCTAGTGGGGGATGGGGAAGAGAAGACAGATAATAAATAAAATAAGTAGATTAGTATATTAGCAGGTGATAACGCTAGGAGAAAAACAAAGCATGAAAAAGGGTAAGAGGACTGTAATTTTATAAAGGCTTGTCAGAAAAGCCCTCGCCAACAAAGTGACATTTGAAAACAAAGGCTTAAAAGAGGCAGGTCACGGAACAAGCCACCTGGATACGGTGGGAAGGGAACTCCGAGCAGAGTAAAGAGAGAGCATGAAGTGCTACGCAAAAACGTGCCTGTATGTATGAAGAACGGCAAGAGAAAGAACCCTGCAGGCTGGAGCAAGAAAGAAGGGAGAATGGTAGGAGATAAAACTGGAGCATCACTGGGAGCGAGAGACATGGCCACAAGAGGTCCAAGACAATGTAGGGCTTCGCAGGCCAGACAAAGATTTGGTTTTTACTCTGAAAGAAAGAGGACAACGATAATTAAACTCGTCTTCGGTTTACCTGTGTTTCTGCTTTTTGCTCAGAAGCAGCTGAGCCACAGAAGCACAGGTCTCAGCTTCTTTTACAGCATCCCTGAGTTTTCGAAAGAGATCATTCTCTGGGTATTTCCTATCCTCAGCATCTTCCAGCATTACTCGCAATTCAATCAAATCTGTAAAAATAAATAAAGAGCCATATACAATGACCACAGACACAAAAAGCCATTCTAAAATCTTCACCAACCTCACTCAAGTGAGTCCCCAACCTACTAGTAGAAACATAAAATTAGTAGAAGCAAACCGCTGTGAAAATCTCACCAACACAATAAAAACTAACAACCAGGTGCTCATTTATAATCCTTATAGACAGTTTCTCTCAGGTAAATAAATTTCTCTTTCCAAAGAAGCCTCCAGTGTTAGTCTTACTGGTAATAGTGGGTTCCCAACATATATAATAAATTTACTGCAAGTTAGATGTGTGGCCCATTTTTAGTCAGTTTTTTCATTTCAAAGAAGATTCTCAAATAGAAAATTAAGTCTATATTCAACCAACCCATTAATCTCAAATCTCATAGGAAGCCTAGGATTTTTCTTTTACGGAAAGAAAAAACATAAAACTAAACAAAGCCTCTTTTAAAGTGACAATCAATTCAGCATATGTATACGAAAGAAGGAAATTTAACCTTTTTTGTGGTTGAAGTTAGCAGACAATGCTTCTGTAACACGACTGACCCACGTGTCATAGGACTGCGCCCTGACTTTTACACCATATAGCAGAGAAGGGAGGTCTTCTAATGGGTAGCGGTATCTACAAAAAGAAAACACAAACACACACAGAAATAAAAATCTCAAAAACCAACAATAACTTAAAAATAAAGTTTTAGTATAATCGGCTTAAGGAGAATACAATGGCCAAGGGAATGGGATCTTCGTTCACGTGAAGAGAAAATCAAACCAGCCCACCGCTTTTAACACAAGGAGACAAGGAACATGTGAAATCAACTGATAAAGAAACTAATTTCAGCTGCCAAGTTTAGGGCCAACTTTAGAGGACTGGTCTTCAAGCCTAGAAGTAGACAGAGAAGTTGAGAAGTCCAGAGTAAAGAGTAAAGGAAGGGAATAAGTAAAAACAACATTAAGACTTGGTTTTAAAAAAAGGTCATGGAAGTTTTACAAACTACTTTTGGATACCTAAGACATTTCTTCTG